GAACAAAAAGATCAATGAATGAACAAAAGGTCAAATGGTTCAAAGAGGGACAAAAGGTAGAATGGTTCAAAGAGGGACAAAAGCTCGAATAGACTAATTGTCGAATGGTGACAAGAGGTCGAATGATCAAAAGAAGAACAAAAGGTCAAATTGACAAAAAGTCGAATAATTAAAAGGAAGGCAAAAGGTCGAATGGTTCAAAGAGGGACAAAAAGTCGAATGGACAAACAGTCGAAAGGAAATACAATATAATAATACACACAGATATCTAAAAAAATAGAAGAAAATAATATTTCTTGTAAACAAGCACAGCCCTTTAAAATAATAATGTTGTTATGGTTTATGATACTGATATTAAGATGCCATTATCATTATTTTTACTTATTTTTATATCTTCTTTCTTAAAACTTTTGTCCTTTTTAATTTTTTTCATTCGACGTTTTGTCATTCGACCTTATACCACAGACAAACAGACATAACACATTGAATATTTCTCACTGTAAAACATCGTCACTAAAACATTACCGCCATCTGTTGAGTACACTGTGGTGGGCACTACACTGAACAGATGGCGGTAGTGTGTAAACGTCAAACGTAAGGGAATTGACTATGCGCGCCACAGGTGGCGGTACTACCAACTGCGATACTTTTAAATTGTCCGTTAAATGCTTGTTTGATGAATAACTTGCGAGAGTTATGTCTGTTTGTCTGTGCTTATACCATACAATCCTTATAATGGTTTCCGAGTGGTGGTCTATTAAAGTAAATAATACATTCAAGTTTTAATGCAGATTTTCCAGAATAAAATCAATTTATTTGATTATACCACAAACGAAGTGACAGACGACTAACTGGCGAAGAAATCAATTAAAATAATGTGGTTCGCTGTAATAGAATTTTCTTAGAAGCTTGTGCCATCAGCCACCAGATGGGCTAGTATTTTTGTTTTGACTTGAACATAGTTGATTTTGTGTGCAATATGATCTTTGACAGTGTGCAAAGAGTGTATCATTTTGTAATTTTTTTATGCATTTCAGTTTAGAGTAGAGTGAAAGAGATAGAACCAAAAAATTGTTGCCATGTGGTACAATCCATTAGTAGTGTTGCCATGTGGTACAATCCAGTAGTAGTGATGTTGTCATGTGGTACACTGAAAAATTGCAATAGCAGATGCGTCACCAAAGTTTTCGAGCCGCTCCGTCTGTCACTTTGTTTGTTATTAATATAAATGTTACCATAGAGATAACTCTAAGACTAGAAGGTCCCGAAATAACGTGCTCAACTTTTTGGCTCAGCTCTGGTACTCTCTTCGGTCCCAAGCTAATCGATTCACTCCTCGAAACATAGGAAAAACCAATAACCTCTCATTTTATCTGTCAAACTTTCATAGCGAATCGAAACAAACATTGCTTAGTACTAGAATTTCGACTAGAATGGGGTACGTTAATCGTTTGCTTGGGACCAATAGGCTAGTCAAGTAGTGAGCAAATTTAAAATCCTTAGTTTCGTATTGATTGTTGATTATACCATAGAGGTAACTCTAAGACAAGAAGGTCCCGAAATAACGTGCTCAACTTTTTGGCTCAGCTCTGGTACTATCTTCGGTCCCAAGCTAATCGATTCACCCCTCGAAGCATAGGAAAAACCAATAACCCCTCATTTTATCTGTCAAACTTTCATAGCGAATCAAAACAAACATTGCGTAGTACTAGAATTTCGGCTAGAATGGGGTACGTTAATCGTTTGCTTGGGACCAATAGGCTAGTCAAGTAGTGAGCCAATTTAAAATTGTTAGTTTCGTATTGATTGTTGATTATACCATAGAGGTAACTCTAAGACCACTGGGTCCCGAAGAAAATCATTATTATTTTTGGCTCACTCAGTACCAGAACAACGGTCCCAATCAGTCCCAAGCTATTTCACTCACCCCTGCATGTTCTGCATGAATCCACACACCCCTGATGTTATCTGTCAAACTTTCATAGCGAATCAAAACAAACATAGTGTAGTAATAGAATTTCAACTAGAATAGGGTACGTTAATCGTTTGCTTGGGACCAATAGGCTACTAAAGTGGTGAGCCAATTTAAAATCGTTAGTTTCGTATTGATTGTTGATTATACCCCATTCCAGTCGAAATTCTAGTACTACACTATGTTTATTCTGATTCGCTATGAAAGTTTGATTCATAAAATGAGGGGCTTGTGGATTTTCCTATGTTTCGAGGGGTGCATCGATTAGCTTGGAACCGAAGAGAGTACCAGAGCTGAGCCAACAAGTTGAGCACGTTTTTTCGGGACCTTCTGGTCTTTTAGTTACCTCTATGGTACGCTTATAGATGTACTTGGGGCCAATAGGCTAGTCAAGTAGTGAGCCAATTTAAAATCGTTAATTTCCACCGGTTAGTAGTAGCATAGAGGTAACCTAAGACCAGAAGGTCCCGAAGAAACGAGCTCAACTTTTTGGCTCAGATCTGGTACTATCTTCGGTCCCAAGCTAATCGATGCACCCCTCGAAACATAGGAAAATCCACGAATCCCTCATTTTATCTGTCAAACTTTCATAGCGAATCAAAACAAACATAGTGCAGTACTGGAATTTATACTAGAAGAGTCTGTCACTTCGTTTGTGCTTTTACTTTTTGCTGTACAGAATCTTACTGAAAAGCAAGTACGGGAGCAGACCTAATCTTAGTTTCACGTACCCACTTGTAAATAGTAGATGTCACCACACAACGTAAACAAAGGTATTGTCCTTCACCACCGCAACTGGATTTGTCTATGGGAAACCAACTTTTTGTTTCACCATGTGTGGATGTCAAACAACAGGCAAGAATGCCATATGAAAAAACGAATTTATGATTTTCGTGGCGAACTGCAATAAATTCAAACAAATTGAAACTGATTGAGTTTCATTTTCTTATATCATCAAATTAAATTTCAAATACTTTGGTTTCTTCTATCATATTTTTCTGTTCAAATCAACACAAAACTACTAACCCATCTGGTGGCTGATGGCACAAGCTTCTAAGAAAATTCAATTACAGCGAACCACATTATTTTCATTGATTTCTTCGCCAGTTTGACAGTAGGCAGCATGTCCCGGGCTCAAATAATTTATTCTGCTGTGCTGGGCCCGCTGTCACGGTATAACATGTTGCGTACGCGCCGGCCACTGAGCTGCGTGAAAAGACACTAAAATAGAAAGTTTTTTCTTCTGACTGTTTCATCTTAGCATTCTTCTTTGGTTCCACACCAAATGACGAATCGTAAAAACCCGGTTTTCATTTTGGATCTTGTAAAAATTTCGTAATATGGTACCTTAAACTTAAAAAAAAAAAATAATAAAAAATGTGGCACGGAAACGGCACTTCTGATCAAAATGACATCTAAGACAAAATTGTAGAGAAAAAATACAAAAAAAAAATTGTTTTTTTTTGTAATTTCATGTAAAAATTAAAAAAAAGTTAAAAACCTGAATATTTCAAAATGTTTTGTACAAGGTATGACATTTTCATTAAAAAAAAAGTGCTCACGAAAATTCAAACTTTTGGAAAGCCTAAAATTATGGACACTCAGGGCGCTGGTGGTGTAGTGTAAGCATGAAAGCGTGATTGCTTCTCACCCTAAAGAGCCAGTTGGCGCCACCGGGATTGTCGGAGGCATAAAATCTCTGATCACGCCTTCCTTCGTAAGGGAAAGAAATCCGTTGGTCACAGATCCATGAGTTGATGGGCCGATATGTAGGGTTCAGGTGTGGGAGCTGTCTCCTGGTGTTGGTTGCATTGGTACTCAGTACGGAAAACAAGATCGACGGAAAACAAATCAAGGAAAAAATGGACTCTTAAAAATTGACCAACATCGTAGAACAAAAACTTTTGATTAAATGTTTGAACTTTTTGTTAAAGAGATTTTTCTCATAATTTATACTCTGAAAACATTGTTTGAAACGACAAAAAAACGTACTTTCAAAAGCGTTCTTGTTCTACGGTTTTTGTAAATTTTCAAGTATCCATGGTTTGGAATATACCAAAAGTGTGCATTTTTCATAAGCTTTTCTTTTTTTTTTAAATCGGAAAAGGCTTTTTGAAATGTTTGGGTTTTTAATTTTTTCTGGAACTAAAAAAAAAATTTTTGTCCATTTTTACCAGAAAGACATTATTTTTCTTTACAACGTTGCCTCATTTTGATCAGCAATACCGTTTCCCTGCAAACATGTTTTGAAAAATTTAAAGGAACCATTTTGAAAATTTTACATTGGATGGCCGAATTTTAGCAGATATTGTGAATCATTGCCCATAACAAACAATTACGCAAAGTTTCATACAATTCGGAAAAAAGTCGATTCAAAAATTAAATTTTTTCATTATTTTGCCTTGGACTGCTCTATGAGAACACAAAAATAATTGTTTAAATAAATTTTGATTTCAATCTCTGTTGTAGCTTTGAAGAATGCCTCGTAATGCTTATAGATTACATTAGTTGTATGGGGGCGACCCCGGCGTAGTGGTTAGCATCCATACCTCTCACGCCAAAGTCACGAGTTCAAATCTCACCCCCGGACAAGTCACAAATGACCCAAATGCGTTAAAGTTAATAATAATAATAATAATAATAATAATAATAATAATAATAATAATAATACATTAGTTGCCCTTTCTGACTCAAAGGCGCGCTTTTCGGTCGAAAATCGTGTCTCCGAAAAAACAAAAGAGTGAACACTATATTTGTTAATACAGTATATGTTAATAAATGGAATAAGTTTCTATTCTGATAATTTTACTTTTCAAATACAAATTTGCAAATCATTAAAGTGTACAGCCTACTGTACAGGTACTTTCCCATAGTTCCCTGCTCACAATATGCACTTCATTTTTTTCGTGGACATGACCTAGGACCGAAACCTAGGTTAAAAGTCAAACGACAAAAATTAAAAATTTGTTTCTCTGAAAAGTTTAGTAAGGAACGAGTATTACGCGACTCTCATTTATCAACAATTTGGAATTAAAAGTCTCCTTTTCACTTATAAAACAATCAAAATTTAATTTATCATTCAGAATCATAAGGGCTTAACCAACAATCAATACGAAATTAACGATTTTAAATTGGCTCACTACTTGACTAGCCTATTGGTCCCAAGCAAATCGTTTAACGTACCCCACTCCAGTCAAAATTCTAGTACTACACAATGTTCGTTTTGGGTAACGTCGATATTTTTGGTTGCTATTGAAAATTTAGTCGATTGCTGAATTTATGTATGGGCCCAAATTAGGGACACTTAGGCCGACATTACCTGCATTTCCCCTAGTATTCAAAAGTTAAAGAAGAATAGTTCACCAGCTCACTGAGAATTCCAACATCGTTAACAAACTCGTAGCATAGAGAACGATAAAGTCGCGCATACAGCTGACACATTTTGCTCCATGGTAAGTGTTGGCAGCTTTTGCAAACACAACAATTTACGTTGCCAAACTTTTTGTTAATATTTCCGCGAATCTCTGTATACAGGATTACTAATTGGTACGATGCAAGTATTTGTAGTTCATTAAATTATCTCTCTTTCTATTTATTCCAACGTATTACAGTAAAACTTATATATTTACGGTCTAGGTAGTTTCCACATCCATTCATTCATTCATTGCTATGTACGCTTGACGATATAACGAAGTTTGTGTGATTCGTCTGTGAGTAGGCATTCCGTAGCAGACAATCACCAGTTTCAGATTAACTTTTACAAAACAGATGTAGACACATTTTAAATTTCCAATTATCCGTGACATCACAAATAGGGTGCTCCTGTATATAATAGTGACAAATTGTTGCCCTAAATATTGGCTACGAGTCTCTTGCTACAGTCTATATAAATAGTGTTTGGTAAAACCTATTTCCGATTTGTATATATATAAACATTCAACGCCATCCAGCAGGTTGAGAAATTGGTAAAAGGTAGAAATTACAGATACAATTCCTATAGGTTGCTATAATAGTGTGGATGCATACTGTTATAACAACAGTTGTTCACTACTTTGTAATCAATCTTTGGCTTGCGTTGATCAATTCTGGGCAAGGCCATCATCCGTCAGCTGTGGACAGTGGATCTGAGCCTCAACGCTAATCTCCTGCTGGCAGGGACCGGTTTCGTTGAGGTTAGATTTACTCGAGTCTGACTTGACCAGATTGCTGATGTTGGCCGTGATGGTTTGAAAGTCTTCGGTGATCACATCGATTGTACTGTTGAGGTTGTCGTTAAATTTGGAATTTTTGAATAGCTCCCTCCGATTGTTGATTCCGTTATCCTTGACTAGAGGTATCCGGGTTGGAGAGGCAACCGATATGGACCGGCCTGGCATTCGTTTGTTCTGATTGTTTAGTTCCGTAATTCTATTGATTCGATCGCTATCGTCATGGTCGTCATCCGATTCGCGAGCGCTAATATCCTTCGTTATAGGCGATCGTGGCACAATGTCTAAACTGCTTCCTCCATTGCTGGTAACAGTGCTGGACTTTCTGCTCATTTCGCGGAGCTTCTTCAGTCCGCTGAGCGTTGTTGAACAAGCGGTAGGGTCATTTATTTCCACGTTGCCGAGTACGAACGGCAACTTGAGAGAAACCTCTCCTCCCATACTACTGAGTATTAGCTTAACCTTAACGTAATAGGAAACATAGATAGCGAACACGTTCTTCTCATCCGATGCGGAGAGAGCCGGTAGTATGCCCCGGGGTGCACTAGTGGCCAGCTTCGAATTGTAGGCCGATGAACTGGGATCGTTGTAGCTGCTGCTGAACAAGGCACCTTCGACGGCGATCCAATTTTTAGTGGTTCCTGGAATGGAAGCAGTGGTAAATTTAGATTAATAACAGGTTTTAAAATTTGAAAATAAATATCTCATAACTATGTAACGGATAACATCTCGAATGACAAATGGTGTCAAAGGTTAAATGGACAAAACGTCGAATGAGAAGGATAAACAATCGAAATTATACAAATGTTTTTGAAGCCTGTGATTTAGAAAAACAATGTCCATGTCTGGCTTCCTAAGTCCCAGTTGCAGACCTCGAACATTATTCTAATATCCAGATATTTTTTCAAACTTCCGGAATAATGAATACTTAGTTAGTTCCAGAATAAAAAAAAAACAAATTTTTATTCTTAATCCAATATTTGAAATATTTCCGAGTCCGAGATCTCGAACATTATTCAAAGTATTTTTCTGTGTTCAAGATCCTAAAATATTTTCAAAGTGTCTGAATGCTGAAAAATTTAAAAATTCTGATATTTCTCTTAGTCCCAGAATCATGACAATTTTTTATGTTCAAGATACTTTAGATTCAGTTTTTTTTTCAAAGAAACAGTTAGAGTGAATCTTAGAAATTCGTAGCAATTGGTAATTTTGTTCCTTATCGAAAAAATATTGAACCAGTAGGGGAAATGACTCTAATGTTGGCCTATGGATCTAAGATGGGCCCATCGCTAAAAATCTGCTATTTATCAATTTTATCTAGATGACGGTACTAATGGATATTTTTGGTCGCTATTGAAAATTTAGACGATTGCTGATAAATAAATTGTATGGGCCCAAATTAGGGGCATTTAGGCCGACATTACATCCATTTCCCCTATTTTTTTATTTCACCAATAGGGTGGCCCCTTCCGTGTTTGGGTGGTCCGAAAGTCTATATAATAAAGTAAAAGAAGAAGAAGACAAACATTTTGCCTATTCTTTACTTAAAAATAAAACGTAACTTTTGAACCACTTTTTCGAGCAAAAGGTGAAATGAAAGATTATTAAATCTAGATTTTTTTTAATATCTCACTACAACAACGGTGTCGAAATAGTTGAGTCTGTTCAGCAACGGTTCCTGAGATATGCGCTACTTAAACTGCCGTCGACGGATCCCTTCCGATTGCCTAGCTACGAAAGTCGTTTGCAACAGATCCATCTGGTCACGAGCTCTACAAACTGCTTACCGTTACCCGCTCATTTCTCCGAGACTATGGCGTTGTTCATAGTTCGTGTTGTCGGAGCCGATCTTCGAATTGAAATCGTCTTTGTAGATCTTGATGTCAACCTTTGAAATGAAACCTTACCCACGACGGCATTCAGTTGATTGTAAACGTTATCCTTGTCCTGTAGTTCGGCCACATCGGTTCAACCTGGTCTAATGCAGATTAACATTAATTGGTATATAACATGGGATTACGGTAAGGCTTCGGACCCGTGTTTTAAATCTGGCTAGATTCATCATCTCATTGATAGACTCCCACTTGATGAGGAAACCAACTCCACGGTGCCAGGGACCATTTGCACTTCGAATACCAGAATATAGCAGTACGTGTCCCGATAGCAATTGGTGTTCTCCAATGTTTGGCCAACGGACTCGGCGCATTTATTTAAAAGCATAATATTTTAAAAACCTGAACTTGAGTTACATGAGCCTGGAATTGCCAGTGTAAGCCAATAATCAGATATTCCTTTTCGAAAGTTATTATTTCAGCTCGGTTCACCATATCCTGCGTGGTTTCAATTTGCTAATGCATTTCTAGCACCAATTAAACATGATTCTTGTTTACCGTCACGCTGATATCGGATTCGGATCGATCTATTAGCCTCGTTCATTATTTGAAGATATTTATGCACTCGCAACCTCAACTAATGTGGTTTGAAGCCAATCGTAAATACATACTACAATAGTCTGCAGCCGTGAAACTAGTATCATCGTATAATGCAGGGTGCGTCAGCACCATTGAACATGTTTGCTGGTTTCATAAAAGCGGGTCTTGTGAGCTTCTAATCCGTCTCAAACAAAACACACCCTTTCGACATATATGTAAGGTACTTGGAGCAACTATTATGCACTTTCATTAGCTAGTGTGGGATGCGGAACAAACATGCAAAGTAAATATACATTGACTATTGTGTGCTCTAAACCATTTTCCACCACGGCTACCTAGGGTAGATGTACCAGTTTGACACTATATCACATACGCAATGGTATTGGTATGGCCAAAACTGGTTCATATCATAACTGGTGCATTTTTTAAGTAGTGCTAGAACTGGCACACCTTTACTACTCATACATTCTCTGTAATTACTGTGGCATTAAAATATAATCTATTAATGGCTGTTGCAGTAGTGGTACTCCTTCTAACCGTTATGTGTGCAAATTTCTCCCAACTATGTATTTAGTTGTATTAAAATATATCTTTGAGCATTTCCAGCTCAAAATGGCAAAAATAAAGCCACTGTTGTCCCAAACCTTTCAGATTTGATTGAAACTTTGCACGTAGGTTGTTTGCTACCCAAAATTACACTTTTCATTATTATTTTTTAAATTTTTCCGGAATATTTTTTTATATGGACTTATGTAAAACATATTTTATTAAATCATTACTTCAAAACGGTATATTTGATCCAAACGACGTCTGAAAAGAAGTTGTAGGTAATATAGGTAATAAATAAAATATACACTGATATAACAATCACTGTATAATTCGTTAGTAAGTTACCACCAAGAATGGATTCTGCGCATCATTTTCAATGTAATAGTCCATACGATTTTTTTTCCTAAGTTCTCCTCTCAAATTAACGCGAATTTAAAAAAAATAGGGAATTACATATCAAGATGTCCAGCTACAAAATGTATTATCATGATAACAATAAAATCATCCTTAGACACGCTGACTTTCAGAATCACTTGTTTTGTTTTAGACTCAGCCGAAGAAAGTCAAGTAGATGTTGTGCAACTCGACCAGTGGGCAAAATCGAGTCAAAAAACCGAAATTATTTTTGATTCTGTTTGAGGTCTTTAAAACCAGCTATTTGTATGCAAAAATCATGACAAATCGATTGATAATGGTTTCATCGATGGAAGATGACGGCTTCATTTCTCCTAAATTACCTAAGGAAATGCTCGTACAACGTACCGTTTGTCTAATCTTGACTGGTATCTTAAAGCATGTCATGAATGAAAAATGTCTGGGAAACAGCGCTACAGTTATTGGATTATTTTGCCCGAATTTTCCTTGTACTGTTTGACATTAAAGTAACAGTGTAAAAACTATTCCAATATGTGTAATTTGATTTCAAACTGCACCTGTCTGGAATGAAAACATTAGGAGTCTCTATATTGCCACTTGTTCAAAATCACGAAATAGGTCCACTTTGCCCAAATTTCCATTAAAATTAAATATCTGCACAAAAGCTAATTTGACTATAGAAAAATAAATGTATTCTACAGTTTTATTTTGATAAAACATGTGGAGAATCAAATTTCACGGCTCTCTTCCTGTGATCTTGTTAGTACAACATTTTATCTCACTTGATGTGATAAGGTCTCATCGAGCAGCATGTATCCGTATAGTAAATCTGGACATCATTCAAAGACTTTGTTAACCATGTAGAACATCAGGACCCAATCTTCAGGATAACTTGGAGACACATACATGTCCCTGGTAGCACGCTTGTCATATATCGGTTGTTGCAACTTCTTTACTACTTATTTCAGTCATAAACAAGTTGCTGCAGCTTTTAATAACGGAAGTGTGCTATTCGGGGTTATTTCTTTACAACTACATATCCCACATTATGGCACTGCACGTAGCTTTTTGGATTCAAAAATTTAGTCAAGACATTTTACAATATCCTGTTGAATCTGTTGAACGTCAAGGTCTGAACTCCATGTCAATTTGAAGAATGGATCATATCTTGTTAGTACAACTTTTTATCTCGCTTGATGTGATGAGGTCCCACGGAGCTGCATGGATTCATATAATAAATCTGGATAAATACTTTGTTAAATCTGTAGAACATCAGGACCCAATCCTCAGGATAACTTGGAGACCCAACATGTTTTGTCATTACATTTGGTCATGAATTGGCAAAATGGTAGCAATATATATTTTTTTAGCCGGCGGCGACGGTGTAGTGGTAAGCGTGACTGCTTTCTACAATGGGTCTGGGTCAAATCCCAGCCGAGGTCGGTGGGATTTTTCTGAGGCATAAAAATCTCTGGTCACGCCTTCCTTCGGAAGGGAAGTAAATCCGTTGCCCATGTGTCATGTGTGCGATATCCTACGCAGGTGTGGAAGTTGCCTTCCTGCACATTCGATTGCCGTTAATGTCCGTCGGTGATTGGCACTAGATTGCGGAACAGAGACCGACGTTAAATAATGAATATATGTCCGTTAATAAAAGTTGGAGCAACTTGTTTATGACTGAAATAAGTCGTAAAGAAGTTTCTACAACCGATATGTGACAAGCGTGCTACTAGGGAGTTCTCTTTATATATAGAGGAACCACCTAAGGGCTGAAAGTCTCTATAATAAAGCAAAAGAAGAAGAATAAGAACAATATAAAGTTGCCGACTGTATTTGTATTTTCCATAACATATATATTTTTAAATAGTTAGTTGATCTTCATGCAGTGAAGGGGGAATTTGGGTGCTTAATTGATCAATTGGTTTGATCAACTTATTTTCCATAACTCAAATTACATTTCACTTTCATGTAGTACTGTGGGAAATTTGAGTAAAGTGGACATTTTGGCAAGTTATTATCATTCAATGAGACCCGTGAAGTTTGATGTTCCACATATGTTATAAAGAGAAAAGTTTAGCATACAGTCATATTAAATTTTGTGCAGTTAGTTTTAATGCAGTATATAATGCGGGCTTCTGAACAAGAGGCACTAGTTTCTATATATTACGTATTATAATAGTTTTCTACACTGTTACGTCAATTTGAAGCAGAATAGGGGCAATTCGTGCAAAATATACCAATAATTTCAGCAGTGTTTCCAGACATTTTTCATTCATGAAGTGATT